GCATTTGGCCACAGCAGCCCTCGACTTGTTCGCAACATCCCACTTTGGATTTACTTCGAACCACACTCATCAAGACTGGCATTTCTGGTTTGGACAAATTGATTGCAGAACCAGTGAACTGAGCGGATGTGTTTTACCGAGTGCACACGGGCAAACAGCAGGGTATATGGCCGATGTGCAAAAGTAAAAGAGGAGGTGCCGAGCATTGGTGCTGGCAATGAGCTGTATATTTATTTGGTGGACTGAGCGTCACCATGTCGGCTTGACATGAGTGTGATTCTTGTATTTCATGGCAGCTTTCTTTTTTTGGAAGATTGCCTCGGATCCGGCCTTTTGACAGGCATCATGAGCCCCACGAACAGGAAAAGAGATATTGTTACAAACAGATTATAATAGACTAATATGATGTCCAAAGACTTGACATACGAGTGCAGAGCCGCTTCCCAGTCCTTTTTCTCCCTGTAGTTGATCCAATCCACATACTGGAGAGAGATGTATTCATCACGTGCATGGTTTTGACACATCGTGGATGAAACCGAGCTGAACGAGGTCGTGCAGATGCGAAACTCGAAGGAACCATCAACTTGCGCACTTACAGCTGCAGCTAACGCGTAAGACGAAGCAGGGGGAACGGGGTCTATTTTTGCGCATCAGAATACGAGTAGCACCGGGGTAGACTCGACTGTGCCACAGCCACTCACAGGTGCTGGATGCCCGCGTGACGGACTGCATTGGGGCTGGTGCGGGCTGCCGCTCCAGCGACTAAGCTTGTTCCTGAATCTTGAGACACGCCAAATTCCCACGCCTCCGTCTAAGCCCATTCAAGCCCATCCTACGCCTAAACAACATTGCTCATCGTCCTCGTGTGGCAATAACCCTTTTCCTGAGCCACGTTGATGTGCGTAAAAGCCATGGTGCGTTGTCGAGGCACTGCAACATCCCAAGCATCCTCAACTGCGGCCTTCACTCAATACCTTATCGTTTGTTCTCCCACTTTCTTTGAATACAACACACTCCTTTGAATGCCCCAAGCGTCAGGCTGTTTGCCGATTAATGCCATCCATCTAATCTCTCTCAAGTCCAAATCTCCGCCTCGACTCTGGGTCCTCGCTTTCTAACGAGACGACACCTCATCCCTCAGCCGATCCACGATCTCATCGATCCGTTGCTTGGGCACCTGTCAAGCCTCGCAGACTGTCAACTTCCCGACGGAATCACGGGTCTAATTGTCATTGACACACTCGTCACATCGTCGAACTCGCGCTCTCTTCGGTCAATTCAGTATCCGTCAGGAATGATGGTGGTTCGGATCTAGCAACAATCGTCCCCCTTGGACGTCACCTACGATTCTTGCACTGTCAGTTTCTGACACAGTGAATATCCTACGCTCGTTTGCCGCACTCCTTACATTTTCTGCAGCGGAGCAATTCAGTCGTACTGCTCTCTTCTTACTACAACCGCCATGGCTGCCAACGACTACTATCAGGGAGAGTCTATGGCTCAATCATCGCAGTCTACCCGACCGCAAAAAGAAAGACCTGTCTCGCATATCGCGTTCGCCTATAATCCCCAAAACAGCTCTTCTAACCTCGATCAGTCACGCCTCTCTCAAGCATACAGTGCCAGACCTTTGTCTAATTTCTACGAACCTTACGACCCTACCAGACAATCTGTACATTCAGACACGATACCGCTGAAGCAACAGTCCAGACTCAATACGAATCAAGATGTGCCTGACTGGCGGAATCAGTCCTCACAGTATCCTCCCTCTCCCGACTCGAACTCACCACAGTTGCTGCCAGATTCAAAAGGAAGGAAGAAAACGGAAGGATCTTTTGCAAACTTTTTCAAGGGAAAGATACCATGGGTTGTGTACACTCTGAGCTTGATACAAATTACAGTTTTTGTGGTTGAGATAATTCGGAATTGTGAGTACACCTGTTCTGGACCTCTGCACTCGATGCTGACCAAAACCAGCGATCATTACAGGGTCTCCCATCATGATCAAGCCGCAATTCAATCCCATGATCGGGCCTTCGACATATGTGCAGATTAACATGGGTGCTCGATTTGTGCCATGTATGCGGACTACACCCGGCGTCCAAGACAGCCCCGACCCTCCTACTTGGCCATGTCCTAATACCACTACATCCGATCCAAACTCACCAAGCAACCACTGCGATCTCAAAACCCTGTGTGGATTTTCTGGTTTCAGTAACGAGCATCCGAACCAATGGTTTCGGTTCATCATCCCCATGTTTCTACATGCGGGCCTTATTCACATTGCATTCAACTTGCTTTTGCAACTTACCATGGGTCGTGAACTGGAGAAAGCAATTGGCAGCATTCGATTTGCCATTGTGTATTTCAGCTCGGGCATCTTTGGATTTGTCTTGGGCGGGAATTTTGCAGCCACGGCTATTGCATCGACAGGAGCATCGGGATGTCTTTTCGGCATCCTTGCTTTGGTTCTCCTGGACTTGATCTATGGCTGGAATGAACGACGCCATCCTGTCAAAGACTTGATGTGGATCATGGTAGATATCGTCATCTCGTTTGTTCTGGGGTTGTTGCCTGGCCTGGACAATTTCTCTCACATCGGGGGTTTCCTGATGGGCCTTGCGGCGGGAATATGCCTTCTACATTCTCCCAATGTCCTTCGCCAGCGCATCGGCGAAACGACAAATCTTAACACTGGGTCCTATCGAAATGTCGGCTCAGATGCAGACGTGAGCATTAACCCCAAGGATCCGATGCTGGCGTCATCGCCCCCAACCGCATCCAAACCAGTTACAACGGCGGTACCCGCTGATGTGGTTGCCTTTGCCAAACAACCCGTCGGTTTCTTCAAAGGAAGGAAGCCCTTGTGGTGGGCTTGGTGGCTGTTTCGTTTGGGGGCGTTGATTGGCGTGTTGGTAGCATTCATTGTGCTCCTGAACAACTTTTACAAGTACCGCGACACGTGTTCGTGGTGCAAGTATCTGAGTTGCTTGCCAATCAACAATTGGTGCGAGATTGGGAACCTGCAGTTGAGCAATTCGACGAGCAACTCGTCGAATTTGAGTCGGAGAGCAGGGCTGTTGTTGATGGAAGGATGGGAAGCAACCAGGGCGCATATGATATGAGACACGAGGTTGCTTTCAAGCGAGCATTGAAAAAGTCGATCCGGTCCATTTTGACACAGCTGAGAAAATAAGAGCCGTTTATCCATCATGACCTACTAGCGTAATAATACAGGGCGATTCATGGAGATCTGAACTCTTGTCTGTTTCATATTATTTCGACGGGCGGTAGCCTTGGGTTTTACTCTATCCCTGCAAGAACCCGTCCCCTCGCATATATACCCGGTATCAAGCCAAGGTATGATATCGGCGAAGCAGAGCCAGAGGCAGAGGCTAAAAAGTCGGAGAATTTAATGGTATTCCCGCCACAACGTCTCACACACGCATCTGCTCGTACGAGGTACGGCTTTGTCGTCCGGGGTTGTCAGTCAGTGTCCACTCTGGCTTTCGTTTCCCTTTCGAGCGTCACTCCACGCTTCTGCCTCTGCTAAAGAACGGCTCGGGATATTTATGTACTGATACGTACATGGTGATGAGGATATAAAGTCGGTGGTGGCGGCGATGAGAGTGACTAGCCCTCGACAATGAAATGACAGTCGTGGATCACGCCACCGTTGACCTCGGGCACCAGGTCCTGTGGACAACAGCTCATGACGACAATGCAACTGACCAACGCCTCGAAGGAGACTTGGCCTCCCTTGTCGCACACCGTCGGCTTGAAGCTCAGCTCCCCGCCGGCAGACCGGTTGCTCTCGTGCAGCGGCTTCGGGGGTGGCGACACGGGGATGTTCATGAACAGGTTCAGCGGTTCTGGAACGGTGGATGTCGGCGTGTTGAACGGTGGGGGAAGCGTGTAGCCGGGCGCGTCGCGGGAGAGGGCCGTGCGGAGGTTGTCTGAGCAGTTGGCGTGGTATTGATCGGATGGGACGCCCAGCTGGTGGTATCGGTGGATGTCACAGGCCGGGATCAACGTGTCGTGGATACAGCCCGAGCTGTCGCTAGTGAACTTGAGGACGGGCGTGCGCTGGTTCGTCGTCAGCGTGCACGGCGCCACAGGGCTCAGGCTGAGTAGCGAGGCCCGCGTGTGTGACATGGACAGGTACGTGATCAGCTCCTTTGTGTCCGAAGAAGGCACTTGAAATGCCCAGAAGTCAATCACTTGGCTGCCATGGGTGTTTGTCACGGTCAGTTTCTGCGACGGCGACAGAGGCACGGCCACGGATGAGCGGGCGGGCACGGTGTGCGTGGTATTGGGAGCATAGGGAGTAGGAAGAGCCATGTTTTGGGGAGGGAGGCTCGAAGTAGAACAGAATGACAGACAGAAAGTTGAGGAGGATCAAAAGTCAAGGGGAAGATGGGAAAGACATGTTTGGCCCACTGTTGGGTAAGAGAAAGCCCTCTTTCATGAACGAGGTCGTTGATCTCCGTCCAGATGGAGAGCAATGGCTTTGGACCAAGGCGACGGGGACTTGCGCGTGTCCTTTTCGAGACAAATCAAATGTCAGCTTCGTGTTTGTGGAGCCAATTGACTGAAGAATATCTGAGCGTCGTAAGGGCCTGTCTGAATATTGAGTCGCCATCTTTTGAACCATACCGAGTGAGTGACAGTTACTCAGTAGGCGGTTCTTGTAGAGTTGAAGTGGATGAAAAAGGAAAAAAGACATGACGTCATTCGCTCTCTGCTGCGTGTAGGGTATGTTTGATCCGCTCGAGAACATCTACTAGTCTACGGCGGAGTATATCACTAGTACTTGCTCGTTATCAACTCCTCAAATGCTACCTCATACTTTGATACCTTTCCATAAACTGAAATCCCCCTATGACGATCTTTGATCTCTGAACACAGTATCTCGACCAACACACTTTTCTCGCTTTTGGCACTTCCCCTCCCATCATGACACCCATTGTTTCAATCGATTAGGAGCAGCACTGTCCCCCATGCGCCCTCGTGGTCTCCGTTTCAATCTCAAAAGCTACGTCGACGCCTCAATGGCCAGTCTCGACCCTCACACTCCCCGGTCCAGCAAATTCCAACCCTGGGAAGAAAACGATGTCCCTATCATCGATTCACGAGAACTCTTTTCCGATGTTGTCTTCAAGTTGTCTTCATACATTGCCAAAGCCATTGACGCCGCCTACACTTACGAGCAGCTGCGTACCACTAGTGCTGGACAGTCGTTGAAGCCTCTCATTACATATCTGAGTGCTGACTGCCACCATCCCGCCATCGTAGCGGCACTCCTGGCAGCCCGATATCTCTTCACCAATGCCGACGCAGACGCGGACAGCGGTTTGAACGAGTCGAGGGCCCTCGCCTGTGAACTTGTAGCGTGGCAGTTTCTTACCTTTTTGTCGGAGAAGGAACTCATTGACTACCTTCTCTACGAACTGCCCCAAAGCCCGGACGAGAGCACGCGACACTCCCCATCAGACTCTACTACTGATAGGAGTTTTGGTCGTCATGTCGAGGAAGATCACGCAGATGAAACATCGCCCCTTATACGCGCCCGATCGGCCGAACGTGGTGCGGTTCTCCGGCCCCCAAAACGCGCCTCCTTCGACCACCTCCCTGGCCCTGGCACATCAAGCACATTCCCGGGCGACGAGGACGATGCGACGCGGAGAGCCTACCTGGATGAATCCATGGCTGGTATGAACGCCCTGGAAATCGCCGCCATTGGGGACGCAAAGAAGTTCCTCTCGCAGAATCCTGTTCAGAAGATTGTCGAAGACATCTGGAATGGCGATGTGATCTTCTGGGAGAGTCTCTCCGTCTACGCCGTCAAGAAACCCCGAGTGTACAACAAACGGGTAGCAGACCCCTTCACCCGTCTAAGGGTCCCTAAGTATCAAAAGGCCTTTCAGATTAGCTTCTTTCTCGCATTTCTGGCACTGTATTATGCTGTATTGGTGGAGCGGGATCCAAGCCACATTACCGCCACAGAAACCGTGTTATATCTTTGGATTGCTGCTTTTGCCTATGACGAGTTCGGTGAGATCAAAGATGCGGGCCTCATGTTCTATCAGACCGACTTTTGGAGTTTGTGGGACATCGCCATCATCGGTTTCAGCGCGGCTTTTGTGATTATCCGTTTGTTCTCCCGAAGTTCTGGGCGTGGTGCCAGTGGAGCTGACCTTGCACTTAGGAGTTATTGGCCTCCTCAGAAATAGCGACTATATCATTGATGTTGCCTTTGACATCTTATCCATGGTGGCACTGTTCCTTGTACCGAGGTGGGCATCAATGCAGAATGCATCGTTATTCCAGACATGCTTACATGACCAGGATATTCTCGGTTATGAGCCTGAACCCATACTTTGGAAGCTTGGTAAGTTTCATCCGTCTCTCGATAGTGTCGGAGGTGACCTGACAGTGTGCTGCGAAGATTCCGGTGTTGAAGGAGATGGTATGTTCTGCGCTCCCTCCGTTAGAGCTCATGCCAATAATGCACAGACAAAAGCATTTTGCAAGTTTCTGCCTGTGATTGTCGTGTTATATCTCGGGTTCTTGACCACCTTCACCATGCTGGCGAGAGATCGGATGAGTCTCAACGACATGTCATGGCTCTTGATCAAGGTGTTCTTTGGGTATGAAGCAGCACTCGACTTCCGAAACGTCACTGATTAGCGGAACAGATCAAGTTATCTTGGATTTGACATGGCTGTCAAGGTATGTCAACGCCGGACGGAAAATGACGGTTGAAGCTGTTGACTGACTGTCCCAGATCTCGCCATTGTTTGGCTATACTCTAATGTATGCAAGACATCTCCACACCGGCTGCCACATGATCTGCAGGCCATCTCGATGGTCTCGTGCATTGGACCGGGCTCTTGTATAGTTGATAGGGGCGGCTGTATTCCGAATGAATGAAGAGCGGCACCCTTATTACTGGATGGAACCCAAGGCTGACTCCCATGATCTCTGCAGGTTGATTTTTGTCTGTTTGACCAACATCCTCCTCATCACATCACTGGTGTCCCTGGTATCCAATTCCCTGACAGAGGTACGTTATGGTGATGGTGGCTTGGAAAACCTAGGCCGCGGCCATCCTTCCAGCCCGTTTAAGCGCCCCGGGGATCCGGAACTAAAGAAGCGCCCATGCTCAATGCTCATGGGTTTCTTGTGAACAGGTCATGGCCCATGCGAGAGAGGAATATCTCTTTCAGTATTCGATCTATGTCCTCGAGAGCAGCACTTCCCGCCGACTAACCTACTTCATGCCTCCACTCAATCTATTCCCCCTGGTTGTGCTGCGGCCACTTCGGCTAATCCTGCCCTCAGAGGAAGTTCGTCGAATTCGAATCTTTGTCCTAAAAGCCACTCACATCCCCTTCGTGGCGCTGATCTGGGCATACGAGAACTCTAGGAACATGATTTCTCGCTCCCATCCCACACTTTCCCGAGCCCCCCACTTCTCGACCAGGCCACTCAGCGCGGGCCGGCTGAGTCTTGAAGGGGCTCGAGATTTTCTCAAGTCACCAACGACGCGGCGAGCGCTTAATGAGACATCTCCAACAGTCACACCTGATATGGCTGCGTCCACCACCAAATCTGCCTTGCACACCGCCGATAATGCAGAATTGATTGCTTTGGTCATGAAATTGAGTGAACAAGTCGACGGGCTGACCGCCATGGTCGCTGGGCAGAAGAAGGACTGACCTCCTGACACATCTCACCAAAAGGGTACACTAGTTGCGCGGAGTCCCCGTTATGCCGATCATCAACACCCTCAGGGAGACAAGCCACCTCACATGCTCCCTGAATGGAGACCTTAGTTTCAGCAATGGAGAAAGTGGTCGCTGCTGAATGGCGAACCATTCTTTCCTCCAAAGTTTAAGCAGCATAGTTCTCCACTGTCGACGTTGGAAGGGGCCTGCGTGATTGAGAGTTTAGGCCACTGTCGTGCTTTGAAGGGGTAGCCCTCACAGGATTGTGTCGGTTTCATTGGAGCTCGAAGGCTATGGCTCTGCAACTGCTACCTTGGGCTAAATCTTGTCCTGCACAGACCATCCTATTGTCCAGGACGCTAGATAGAAAGCTGCGTCCAACTCCCGGAATCTCAGAAAAGGCCTGAGCGGCTGTTCAGGTCGCATATGCTGTGATATAATGCTGATGGGAAAAGGACGTGGTCGGCTTTTGAAATGCAAGGCAGGGTAATGGAAACTGCCATGGACTTAGCCAGCAGAACTCAATCTAAAATCGTCTGCCATTCCGGCAGCGGCTGTGCCAAAGCGAGGATCTCTCTCCAGACGCTTCTTGTGGACGTGTGTGTTGTCTTCACCATGGATATGCTCGATGCAGCTTTTGTCAATCACGACTACTCTTCATTTCATCCAGCTCTCGTGCCGTCTGAGGTGCCGGGCGACATTCCCTCGTACCTCGATTCGTCCTCCGCAGGCGTCCACAGTGACAGCTCAGAACCTTCGCTTGCTCGTTCTCATTTCTCCATTCCAGGTCAAGAACATTACGTCGAAGACTCCTTCGGCACAGACAGCAATTGGCTTGGGGACTTCTACTCCCCCAACTGCGACTTTTGCTGCTCTTTTCCCACGCCGTGGCAAGTGTGCTCTCAATTTGTCGAGGATACCATATTGCAGGATGCAACAACGAGCCTTGAAATCTCTCACACCCCTTCAACCTTAGAAACTTGGTCTCCAGTGTGCACGTCGACCAGCCACCCTTCGCAGGCGAGCCCCCTAGCATTATGGGAGGAGATGGGAGGACACAATTACTCCGCGAGTGTTTCAGGTGAGTGTCGTTTGTGAGGATGCTTACACTGTTGCACGGGCATTGTTGTATCTTGTCTTGTCTATCAAGTTTATGGAGGACAACATCCTAACTCAATGCAACAACCAGGATTTCCTGTACAATTAGACTGTCAGCTTGACCGGAAGATCGACCCGACGTCGCCGGATCCGCAGAAGATCAAGAGCAAAAGTCTCCACCGGGAACACAAGCGCGAGCACGATGGTCAACATAGTTGCGCAACGTGTCAAAAGACCTTTACAAGAGCGGCAAGTCTCGCCACGCACATGAAAATACACGGGGCTGGACCATACGTGTGCCAAATCTGCACCAAAGAGTTCCCCAAGGCCTCGAACTACCGCCGACACCTCAATGTTCACAACGAGAATCGCCAGAAGAGGAAGTGTCCCAAGGAGGGCTGTGGCAAGACATATGCGTTTGCGGGTTGCTTGTCCCGGCACATCAAGTCGGTATGTGCACACCACCTTCGACAAGCTGAGATCTCGCAGGTGGCAGGAGTCGCACTATAGAACTAATTTGTGGACGTCTCACAGCACTACACGGATTACATGTGTGGCGATTGTCACAAGCTGTTCAATCGGTCGGATCTCAGAAACAGGTGAGTTCTGTGCCTCGATCTTGGTGCCGCTGCAAGCATTTCATACAATGGCGATCACCTCCTCCTTAAGTCCTCCGATCTGGACAGCACCCGTGGTCGTGGGCTGTGTAGCATATGCTAATCTCTCCCAAGGCACCAGACCAAGCACTGCCGCAAAGCCCGAGAGCGACGAGCAGCCGGGGATCTTTTGCTACCGCAACCCCAAGATGTACAGTCACAGCCGCTGCAGGAGTATCACCAGGTCGACGAGCCGGCCCATACGCTCGCACAGTCGCCAATGCCAGCACAAACCTTTACCATTTACCAGCAAGGCAACGACACCGTTCAGAGATCAGCGCCGCAGCCCGCTGTCCATTGCTCCGACGGATGCTCCAGAGATACAGCTCCAAACGATGGGTGGGACTTCAACTAGCAGGTCACGGACATTGAACGGCACATATTGAGGTTGGACTAGAATCTGATGCCTGATTGCCGACTCGTAGACAGTACGACGATCTCCCGGCTTCCACTTTGTTCTTTTCCGCGTTCATGTCTTCCACACCATGCTGGGGATACTGCGCACACGCACGCGGGGGTATTTGCTGGAGTATAACGCGAGGACTTGATAGAAGGGAGGTAAACATCGGATTCTTTGATCCGGTAGCTACCTAGCTAGCTAGCTACTTATCTACCCACCAAAACATGGTCGATAGTAAAAATCTGTACTTCGTGGAATCTACATTGACGATGAAGGAAGAACATAGTCATCGAGGGAGGGAACCTCCTGTGGTCCAAATCACACCAGATTACGACCTAGGCTAGACCGAGTTCTGTAGCTGTGGCTTCGAGAACGGCACGGACGCGGACGTGGGTGTCTGGTTCTGGTTCGGGTTCGGGTTCTCTCGCTGATACTTCCATGGCTTCTCGGGATGATGGTGGCTTTGGCCCTGGAGGGTTCGTGCCCGCCCTCAATGGTTGGGATTGTGATTGAACCATCCTCGCCACGAGGACCTTGATGTTCTCATACCTCGGATCCCATCCGTGCCTGCTCTCAGGTCCGCGTCCTCGGCTGCTAGCTGATTCTTGCTCTGCGGCGACAGTGGCAGCGATGACGGCATTTTCGTCGTTTCTCCCTTCTTTTAGTAGTTGCAATGACGCGGCGCCAGAGGATCGTGCAGTGGCAGAGGCAGAGGCAGAAGCGATCTCGCGCAGTCTCGTCAACAGGCGAAAGTCGTCCCGCGCCAGGGCCGCTCTGATGGACCCGTGTGTCGAGGGGAAAGCCGCGAGGAGTGCGAGCCCGAACCAGGCTTCCCCTTCGGTCTGCTGGAGGGATGATGCGTCTTGGGTTGGTGATGATGAATGTTGTGGATCGTCGGGCGGTGGGCTTAATGCTGACTGTGTCAGTATCCAAGATATCGTGTCGGCGATTGTTGTTCTCGGCGGCGAGTTCGAGTTTGAGTCTGGCATTGCCGTGGTTGTTGTGGGTGATGGCGAGGGTGGCAAGTGCTGCGCCGGAAAGATGGACTGGAAGAGTGATTCGGCTTTGTTGTCATCTTCACGTCCCCGGCCTGTTCTGTCTTTGTCGGTGGCGACGGCTGAAGTCGATGACGAACGTAGTGTGCGGAGGATTTCAATCGACAGTCTCCCTATATTGGTCTTGGTTCCCGCGTGGCTGGTCTCTTCGAACAGAGAAAATATCAGCGCCATGATGTAGGTGCGTGATCCGTCGGCTCTCGTAGATACCAAGTCAGAGAGATATTCCATGCGTCCCTTGATCATCAACCTCACTACGACCACCGCGTCGCTCTGTATTTCGAGTCCGAGAGAATCCACTTGGCTTGGAGGCGAGGCAAGGAGCACTGCCATGGCTGACGCCATGTTGACTTGGTGAAATGCATCTTGTCCCTCGCGGCACAGGGCCAGCCGCACGGCAAGGTTGAGAGCGGGAAGAAGGCTTGCTGAGGCGGTGGTCTTGACCAGCCACTCGGACAAGAAACTGGGAAGTTTGGGTGCGGCCTTGACAAGTTTCTGGGCCCGTTCTTTCGTGATTACGCTGTTGGTTAGGAGCACGCAAATGCTGGCTAAGAGGTCGCGCGGTCCTCCCGTTTCAAGGGTGGCAATGCAGTTGTGGATGAGTGGTGACTCACATCCAGACACTTGATGATACGGTCCCACCGCGGTTACAGCGTAAGTGGTTCTGAGAAACGCTTCTCGGTATGGAGCCAGTCCTTGTTCGTCCTCATTAGCATCGTCAGTCTCAGACTCTAGGCCGTCCGTCGCCAGAGGTAAGTGGATCAGGTTCCAGACCAGGCGGGGGTCCCCTGCAATGATATTGCGAGAGTCCGGTTGTGGGAGAAGGTTGAGAACGGCTTGACACATCGAAGCTCGGCAGTCTATGTCCTCTTGCGCGAGCTCTAAGCCATGCGTCAATAATGCCTGAACAATGTCTGCGGTTGTATCGACCTCAAATGTCCCACCCGGCCCAGCTCCATCAGTCTTGTGAACGAAATCGCGCGTTTCGTAGAGTGCGATCCGGCTAGCCATTTCGATGAGATCGGCCAGAGTGTCTGTGTTAACCTGTTCAGAATCTTTGGCCTTGAGCAAAATTTCAAAGGACGTCAGTCTCGCATGCGGCGACCAGTATGTGCCGAGTCTCTGCTCCGCGCGGTTGGCGGCCGTGTTCAAGCCTGCTTCTTCACCTTTTGCTGTCTTCCCCTGAAGGGAGATCAATGGCTGTCCTGCTGAATCTCTCGCGGGCTCATCGTAGTCAATACAGACGTTGTAGAGGGTGGGGATGACAAGATCGCATTCTCGCCCCTGCCTGATCATTTCTAGCAGTGCTTCGATGCCATCACGTTCAATGATGATGGATCGATTGGTATTATTGTCTGCGCAACAATTGGCGATGATTCTGAGTGCTGATCTTGTTTGCTCGCTTGTTGATGTTTGCGCTGTTTCAGAGACGACCCGCCTTGCAATTTCAACGATGCAGTCAGGTGGAGATGCTCCTCCCGCTTGGGTCTCGTTGATATCACGATTGGGTTTGGCCTCGAGACCAAATAGAGGTCGCCAAAACGGTACTTCGCGCGTCGCATCTGCAAGAGTGCTAAGAATTGCAGTCTTGAAGCCATTGGGTCGTTCTTTCTGGATCACTTCATACACATGGCTGATAAGAGGAGGCATGAGAGCCGAGATGTTATGTTTCTCTTCGCCTGCTCCTGGGTTCACGGATCTCAAACCCGAGACCACGGCTGAATGTGTGCGATTTAGAGTCTGGTCATCGATCCGATGTTGCTCTAGCGCATCTGCAAGCCAGGAGCAGGCCGCGTAGAGCGTTGTTAGCGCCATGCTTACATCGACCGCACCAGCAGACTGCCGCTCTCGTTCCCCTGTATTCTCAGACGAGTACCATGCAAACGTTCATTGGGGACCAGAGCGTCATCTTTGACTTCAAAAGAGTATGGATAGCGTTGGACGGAGCCACATTGAGAACGACTTCTCCGAAAAGGAACACTTTTCAGATACACTTGTGGTATGTAGGTGCCGAATGAATGTTCGTAGAAGAGAGTGAGGTCTCGTAGAGCCAATGTTGGAGGCTGAAGCAGAAGGCTGAGCGCCAAGATAACCTCAACCTCTTTGGGATGAGAATGATGCCGCTCTATGAGCAGCGGTTAGTGTAGGTATTTTACAAGTTGCAACAGCCGCTGCTCCTCGAGGCTAGTGTTTGGCTTTATTGAGTCTACCTCTTAAAGACGCGGCATCACTATGCAGGCATATTTCAGAAGAGTGCCTTGTTGATGGCGAGGATGGGTTAAATCGTGACCTACTTCTGGGGTCCACATGAGCGCCAAGTTTACCAAATTCGGCATTACATGGTTCGGACTGGAGATCTCAGGCAAGGGTGGAGCAAGGGGGTTTAAGAGCGGCGTGGTAGGGGGTAAGTGTCAAGGTGGGTATGGCTGCCAAGGTATTACAGGCAGGGCACGGCAGGCTATTGCGACAAGGACGCGCTCTCGTACACTTGTCCTGACTGTCCTTTTCAAGCGCCGCTATCGACGACATACAACGATTCATCCTCTCTAGAAAGTTATACGCGTGGAAATACAAGTCAGAGCTACTCAGCATCCCCCGCAGAACAACACCAGACAAACCTTCTCTGCAAAACCGCTCTTCTTCCAACCATGGGACGCGCTGCGCAAACAATTTCATTTGCCTTGTTGATCTCCTCAGTATGTGCCTCTGCATTGACCTTCCACATCTTGACCCCTGAGCACTTTTTAATTCTCAAAACAGACCTACCTTTTACTTGCCCTTCCTCTCCTGACTGAGGATTCGCCCGTGCCTTCTATCCTGCCAACCAAAATTCAAGTGGAAATCATTCCAGTGCTCCCCTGCTGGGCCCTCATTACTCTGGGCGCATATCTTCTGGGACGGCTGGGTCTGGGTGTTCTCCGATTCAACGACACAAAGGAAGCCTACACCGAGCTTATGGGACAACTGGATGAGGCGAGGAAAAACTTGGACGCAAGGAAGATTCGTTGGGACTAAAGATACGACACCGTCGCCATGTGCGCGATAGGATCCCCTCTATTGCAGCTCTTGCGGATATCAGCCTAGCCTCTACTTGTAACAGAAACCAAAAAACATGCCAATAGCTCGACTCAGTTGACGCCGTGGTTTTGGGCGAGTTGGTCGTGCTCGTCAATGTCAGTTGCCTCCCAGGGATAACAGATCCACACATCGGGTACAGTCACCGCCGCCAGATACCGATTTTCTTTGAGCATGTCTTCTGGAAGGTGTCCCTTCTTCTCCTTGTCCTTGTTATGCAGGACAAATATGGAGAATTTTGTCTTCTCGGTTCTTCCTTGTTGTTGTCTGGCCAATTCCACGTCCTTTTCCAGCTCCTTCACCGCATATTCGAGTGTGGTGCGCGTATCATCTACCTCGTCAACGATCAGGACGTTTTTGCCAATCAGGTTATTCATCTCGAGCGAGGATAGATCAAGCCATTGTGTCCGCGTAACTTTTGTACCGGGCGCTTCGACGGGGTCTGTCCCAGAAAGTTGTTCATAGAGCGAGAGGCCGATGGCTTGAATGGGGATGTTAGGAGCACCGGGCCGCTTGAGGAATGATCTGATTGTCCAGATTGTTAGTCGTTGTTCAGATCTCTATTGGAACACTCAAGTGTTGACCGACCTTAGGATTCTCGCTGGCACATAGCCGCCGCCTCCAATGGCGATCATGAGATTAGGCTGGAAGTCATTGAGAATCTTCTCGGCCGACGTCTGGCATAGTTTGTGGATCTAATCGCTTGCGTGAGTCTATATTACGACAAGATACTGGCTGCAGACATCGGCCGCATGCCGTTGACGGGTGGAAGGTTGGAACAAACCTCATTGTACGTCACGTAGACCTTTTCCACCATTTTGGCGGTTGCGCTACAAATAGAATGAGGAGTTGTTGTGCTGGAAAAAGTCTGCCTGGTTTGGAGGATGTGAGACAAGTCTGTTGCAGGTTGAGGTGGAAGTCACATCGTTTCTTCAAAACCCGTCCAACCCAACAAGGCAGTGGGAGGCTCCCAGGCAAAAAAAGTTCGCGGCACCAAACTCTGGGTGCGGCGTAAGGCACGGGGAGGCCCCCGCAATTGCAGACATAATGCTCTGTGCGTCGACGTATGCCAAGTCGCTGAGTAGTACGGCGGAGGAAATCTCGTCTTATAGCACAACGCCATGAATCCACTGCTAACTCTTCCACTCTCTCACCACGGCTCACCCACAACCACCGAAAGACACCTTCTGCACTCCAACTGTCTTGATCAAGTCCACCACCGGTTAAGCCTCGACTGGCTTCGTGTCCCGGCACACAGGTTGCCGAAACCGCAGGTATAAGGTGTTGGAGACCATTTGTGACTCCTGCAACCATAACACCGCCAATCTCCGTCCCTGTTAGGTATCGGCAACCGGCATTAAGCACTCTAGTCTCTGATCTGCCTATGGTCAGTGACTTATCCGTTTTGTGTGCAGAGCAGGGGAGCCAGCTTTGTACCCAGCGTGGCTCAACTTCAACCATTGTCTCCGAAAGTCCCCCACTAGATACAGTGCACTAGGGGAGATGTAGGATTTTCCGGCTGCTCTGCCCATTCCGCTAGGCAACTATCACGATGTGGCTGCTAGATTTGTACTCTGTACAGTAGCATCTGATACGTCCATGGTGTGGATCCGACTCCCAGCCATTTGCGAATCCCGCAAGCCTTGGGCTCAACTGATGCATGTCTTGACAATAGTTCTACGAGCGAGATAAATTGCCTGCAAGTTGACTAACTACTCCGTATTTTTCATTGCTAACAAGTTAAGCCACTCAGGAAGGGAACCGAGCCACACTTCAGACACTTACCTCGCCAATAGCAGCATGAACAGGGACGGCAGCGCAAACCAGACTTATAGACTAGGTCAACACTCATTCCAGGGAGTTTTTGTTCATGATACTCCTTGACCTCGCTTCTGTGTCTCAGCCCGAATTCAGATTTGCCAGCCTGGAGTTCGCAGCTCCTCAGTACTGAGTCAAGGCCGGTCCTCTCGTCACGCTCCTGAAGCCCCTGGATGGTGTTGATGCTCCAACAATCGAGATGTAAACAAATCAACGAGGCCTGATGCAGAATGCAGTCGAAAAAAAGTTCGAGTTTTGCCCCAGAAATTCTTTGGTTCGATGCGAAAACTCCCACGAATTTCAGGTCAACGCCCGACTACGAACAGAAGACAATCATCGCGGTTCGGGCACAGCAATATTCTATCGAGAGACGAGTAGAGCGGGCCTCATCATTGCTTGAATCTCCCGAGAGTGCCTCGCAAAGCCTTCGTGGACGGAATGCGTCGTCGTTAAGTTACGAGCGAGCAAACAAGATGCTCCCAGGCTTGCGTATTGGTAAAGAACTCAAAGTGATCGGGCAGGGACCCCCTTCACCGCGGAGAAAGATACCATCAGAAACCAACCAGGCAGAAGACATATATGATCAAGATGATGATCAAGGACGTCTCCACCCAAAGGTCACCAAGAGGCGTCTCCGGACGCAGCATCGTGCGCGATCGACCAGAGCCATTGGGGTTTCGTCCGCCAGCAAGGTTGGCTCATTGTCAGTACTTCTCCAGGGAGGCAACAGCGACCCATTTTCTGCGACGCCTATCCCCCTATCCGCCTTGAGGCATAGTGTGATAACAACAATTCAACCAGTATCTCTGAGGACGATATGGGCAGATGAAGTGGCGTCTCCCAATGCCGCCAGATTTCTAGTGCCTGCGCAAAACGGAGTCTACAAATCGTACATGAGCCACGAAGCGGTAATGCATGCCCTCCTTGCTTACTGCTGGTCGGCCTTTGCGCGTCTGCATCCTCACAAAAAAGAATTGTATCACGATTATGCACTTGAGCATGAAACTCGGTCAATTCATGCACTGCAGCCACTTGTAGTATCGGGTTCACATGCAGACGACAATCTCGAGGTCGCAGTGCAGACCGTCCTGTTGTTGTGCTCCGCGGCAATGTACCGGTCCCGTCTCGACGCACTCTTTTTACACCTAAATGGACTGAAGCAGATGATTACGTCTGTGGGAGGGGTCGGAGGGCTTTCTTGGATCATGAAAGAGATCATGGTTTATCTTGCTGTTAGGGTGGCTGCGGCTACGGGTACGCGCAGCTTTCTCGATTCTTCGACCTGGGACCCTGCATGGCCGTGGGAGGATACCGTTCCTCAACGTATAGCCGATTTGGTGACTGGTCCCAAAAGATCAAGCCAGTTGGATACGGATCCCACTGCATGGTGCTCAGCTTGTCCGAACGCGAATGACTTTCCCGGCATCTTCAAGGCTCTGCGTGAACTGGTGGAGGTCGAAAATCTCAAAAAGACAATGGCTGTTGACGACCCGAGCCAACTCAACGGGCTGTTCCGCTGGTCTTATCTTCGGCGACAAGCCGTCAGAGCTCGGATCATGGACTACTGGTGTAGCCTAACAGAACAGACGAATGCTGTCGACCCCTGCCAGGCTATTTCAACACCGACGGCTGTTCATCATGCGTCTGTTGGCATGTGTCTTTGTCTAGCACTGCATCTGGTCATGGCTTTCGGTCTAGAAGCCTTGCTCCTGGCGCAATCTTGGGTCTCCACGATACAGGTTTGGCACATTATGCTCCTCAGATGCGTGCTCAAGCTTGATTTTGAGAGTGACAAGATCGACGAGTCCCATCCGAGTGCGTTGGACCTGTTGTGGGTCTACGGGATAGGGGCCTATGTGGAGCAGCTATCTGTGACCCATGTCCTTCGAAAGAAGTCCAACGCTTGGATCCTCTATACTTCGGAGCAGGTGGATATTCAATGGTTTTCTGTTAGATTCGGAAATCTGGCTCGAAGGCTTGGCTACAGACAATATGGAGACGTAGCTATGCTCTTCAGCAAACGCTACGTCCACATATCTTCGCTTCAGGACCCCGTGCTGGGCAAGATATTCGAGTTAGGCTGTTGAGACCATCGTCGATGCTGGCAGTCTTCGCTGTACTGAATCACCATGCGATTGTGGCATTCACGCATCAGACGTGGCAAAATAATCCCTTCGAGCGGGACAATGGCACCCAATCATCTTGGTCGAAATGACAGACTACCGGAGACTTGCGTCTATAATGCACAAGAGTCAGAAGTCCAAGTTTTGTGCGTTACGTGGGAGGTAAATTGTGTTCTGAGTTGGACCTCGCAAAAAGTTGGCGTGTTGATCCGTATTCCTCAGCTCCTCCACGTCGATTCCACCCTCTTCGGCCGCTTGATCCTCTGGCGCAGGTGGGCGCTAGTTAATTTTCAAGAGTTCAAAGGAAGACCATACTGCAGAGGAGGTTGCTCGTTATCGAGTTTGTGGACGACCGTCAGAATCACACCGTTGCATGGGAGCCCCTCGTGTGTGTGTATAGTGTTGACGGGAGCAGCAAGGCGATCCTGAATATCTGGAAGCATGGACAGCTGCTCTAAAAGCTCTTCGACCGCCGTCAAGGCTGTAAAAGGTGGGGTTTCTCGATCCTTGAAGAGTTGCCGAGGTGTTGAGTCTCTGTCGAGAACACGAACAAGAACACTTTAAGGCCTTGGTCGATGTGAAATGCCGGCACACGATCTCAAGGTCTGACTTCCAGCTGGTCGAGGCCAGTCACTTCGTCCGCAAACTCGAGATTGTCGAAGGCTTTGTCCGCATCGGCCTTGATGAGCTCTATCATCCCCTGCAAATCATTAGCCACAACCCCAATAACTATAGTTCTCAATGCTAACTTCGGGCATGATCGGTTTGCCAGTATTGTCGGCGACATATCGGAAAGGCATCTCTGTGGACTCGTGTTCATCCACCTTTAGCTCCGGAAAGTCGACATAGGGGATCTTATCCAGAGGCGCTGTCGTAAAATGTCAACACGAAATTCCTGTGCGAGTGTATTCTCTCCCTACTTTGGCCAAGGATAACCGTGCGAGTGACCCTGACGGCTGTATCTGTAGTCATCTGTACAGGACCTAAGCGACGGCCCGAAAAGCCCTTTTTTCGCAACTCGCTGGTGCGGTCTATGACGATTAGATACCTTTCCACAGAAGGGTAACAGGCGGCTAGTTACCTCGCGGGGGATCATCTCCTAGAATTAGTGATTAGTGACAAGGGCCGCCAGCGTCTTGGACAACTCTACGCACCTAAAATACCACCAAACAAAAAGATCTCGAAAACGGCAGCATCGGTAGGATGCAGTTCCTGTTTCGCCGCCGGATCAAGCAGGCAAATCTTGTCCTTTTTGTGGGCTAAGGAGGTCTCGATGCTTTCTGACTCAGCCCCTGCATCCAATGCTACCAGATCTTTCAAATCCTCTGATTTGAGTAAGGACTCGGGTAGGGAAGACAGGATGAAACGGCATCCGGCTTGTCGTGATTCTTTCGCAATGGCCTTGTATTCCAGGGCGGACCAGGGTCCGAGTTCTGGGTCGAGATGCTCAACGACAAAGGTGTATTGGCTGTTTGACATGGCTTAGGCTGCTTCAGTCATATAAGTTCCAGGGTTGGTCAGTGGGTATTATATCTTGAAAACTAGTTGTGCACATGAAAAATCCATGTGACGGGGGTTTTCAGTCACGTGCTGATATCGCGGCTCGGGGAGAAGTGGGGCTACTTCGGGGAAATCTTAGTACGCGAGCTCTTGGCACACTGGCTAGCCCGCTAGTCCAGATTCAGCCCAAAACCGCCAAGCCAACCTGATTGGCGGTGGTATTTCATCATCCCTACCGACAACCATATGCGCACCCTGCCAGTGCTCACTATCCTCCCTCTTACACTTCCATCCCCGTCAGCACAACTACTGCCAAATCAAAATCCAACCCACCGACCCGTATCGAGTTGGTCAAACTGTTTCCGCCTTTCCCCAGACGAATCCCCCCTCCTCTATCTACGTCCACGGCGACTTTCCCACCGAACCCCACCTTCACATCCTCAAAGAACCTACTAGTTACCTTCTCTTCTTCTCACCAACCCAAGCCCAATCGCAGTCTCCTCCATTGGCAAACCTGCGACACTTTATCTGCACCCCTTCCCCTACCTACTTGTTTGCTCATACAAGTCCAAGGAAGCATCAGCCGTCAGCTCGACCATAACATTGCCTGGCATTCTTCTCCGCTGAAACGACAACGAGTGTACTGGGAGCGTGATCTTGTACCCCTCCGGAATCATACCTCTTAGTCAATCACAAAACCTCACGAGACTGCTACCACCGACGTTATCTCTCCCCGAGACCTTGTTTCGTCCTCCTTCCCTCGAATACCTGCTCTCAAATTCAGTCACCCATCAATTCTTTTCGACAGTCAAATCAACAATCTGAGCGATCGGACCTTCCTATTGGCACTTGCCTCGGCAGGGCTTGCTCCCTTTCCACCAGATACAAGTACCCATCCTCAATATCCTTCTCAGTCGGGAATAATACAAGGACCAACACCCGCCGGAGGACTTGCAAATCATGAATCCACACCAGAAAAACAAGATTGACATTAGCGTAGGGCACACCGGACTCAATCCAGATCTTTTGAGACTGCTGAAACTGACTATGTATCTCCACTAGAAACTGTCAGCAGATGAGCAACGTCTGTTCCGACTGTATGGCAAACTTCCAAACAAGAAGGACCTACTGCAGAACAAGTTGAAGGTAACCTATCCTCCGATGTCCAAGCGGTAGAACAACGTTCTGATTGAGCCAATCTGCAGGAACGCAAATACTTCGACTCTGGTGACTACGCGCTTTCGAAGGCGGGCAAGGCCTCAGACACAGGTGTCACTACAATTGGTACGGAGCACCCGAAGGCCGAGGAGATCCCACACATGTCTCCCCTCAATCATACCATTTCACGCTCCGATTCCATTGCCCCCGGAAACCCTGGCGCCCTTGCGACTTCCCCGGATAGTCTGGGCCATTCTGCACAACTTCCCCCTGTTGGCGGTGGAGGACCAGGTGGAATCCACCGGGGCAGTATTAATGGGATCCCCGGCGGTGGTTTGCCGGGTGCGACGAGCAGGAGCCCAGTGAAGGAGAGTAGTTTCCTTGCTCGAAGTGCCAGCATGGATGAACATGACGGCAATCAACAACAGGGGAAGGACAACATTCTGGAGGGCAGTGTCAGTCCACCCGTGCAGAAGGCTGGAATTCCGATTCGGAGATGATGTGCATCGCCGCGTTGTATCTCGCGAATGGAAATGTTATGATGCATGTGATCAAGCACAGGGGGTGTCCTGTGCCGACTCGAAGGTGAACGGCCGGCGCGATACAGCGAGAAAGATTTGTGGAAAGCGAGAAGCGGTAACGGCACCAACAACACTACGATACATGGGTGGACCGGAAGCCTTTGTGTCACTCACTCCGCTGATCGGCCTTCCAATCAGCCAGGATCAGATTACACCTCCATCGTCCCTTTGATGCACCGAGTACGAAACTTTGGCTGCCACCGAAGCGAAGCGCAACGGCGACATGAAGTCCTCAACAGTCTCTACAGAACCTGACTTGACCGGGATCCTTTTCCCTCTTTGTGTTTGTGTAAGGCTTACTTGCAACTGCGGACCTCCCCGGGAGCTAATCAACACTGTTCAAGTTCTATGTACGCTATCGTCGTCGTCTTTTTGTCATCAGCTACGGAACCTGGGTAGGCTGGAAAGAAAATGCGCTGAACCCAAAAAGAAAAGGCAATTGCCCCAAAAAAAGCCAGACAATCAAGAGGGTTACCCAAAAAAGAAAAGAAAAATCATCATCTACATAGGTAACACCCTCAATGTACGGATGGGGGGATGCGAGTCTCTAGCCACAACAACTTGTGTATTGCTTTTTATGGAGCTGCAGTCAAAATATCACGCAACTTGAACCTCTCTCACTCTGTGTCTCCTTCTCCGTCTATTCATCTCGATCCTCGATCCTCGATCCTCGACCGATGTGACTGACCGCTAATTGGAGCGAGACAGGTTTCATTTCATGACCTTATTCGATATGGTTCATGTGGTAGATTATGCAGGGGAATGAATCGCTGTAACTATTCTCAACCCGTCAACCCGTCCGTCATCCAATCGCCCCATTTCCATTCCACCTCTGTCTTCGATTCCAATATCAGAGCATCAGAGCATCGTGGCATCTTGCTCGGCCTAGGAGGGTGGCTATTCTCCCTTTTTCCTTAAGGCTGACTTTCCCATGTTCCCATTTCCTTGATACGGTGTTGGTTCCCCCAGGTTCTGTTTCGTCCTTGAGTGCTCCCGCCATCGTTGTGGTCCTACACTTCTTCCACTTGCATGAAAACCATGCCGCCTCAAGAATGCCCGTGCTCATAGTGTAATCCGCAACCTCAACGGCTCCTCGATGGGAAATCCTCGCAATCTTGATGTCTCGTCCAGGGGTGTAGTTGTCGTCGTGCTGCGGGAAGAAATTTATCCGTTCCTAGCTTGTCCTTTCCCAAAGAGCCCGATAACGTGGCCAGCAAATTTGCTATTCGTAGCATGCCATCGATATGTCAATGTGAAATTTGTGGGTGATCTGGCTCACCAGTCGTCACAGCTGAAACCCTGCGTCCTGAATATCTTGTAGAAGCTTCACCTGACAAGATTCGCCTTTGGATATTACTGTCACAGCTGTGCTCGAAGCCTCGTATCGGATCTTGCGTCATCGATCGAAGTCTGCCCTCTCTCTCGCTCAGTCAACCTTCCAGTGATCACCGTTCATGTCGTCTTCTTTGCCCAACCACAACTCGATAGCATAAAGGGACATAGTCCCTACCAAGTTGACCCACTTCCATAAGTTACCATTCATCACTGGTTGGCCGTTGCCACTCCACCAAGCACCGATTGTTTCCGTAAGACCTGGTGCGTAGCCGCCCATGCTTGTGGCAAAGTGCTGCATGAGAAGGCTGGTGTAGACTGCGATGAGAATGCTGGGTGAAAACCAAGAGAGGAAGGCGAGGAATTGGTTCGCCGCATTGGAGTCTTCTAGAGAAGGCTCTACACTTAGACCGCCGGCACCGCTTTCATTGATTGCTGGGATGATGCGTGTGGAGGAATAAAAGACGAAGAGTCGATACCCCAGAGAGATTAGGACCGATGGCGTAACCGCTTTGAAAGCTGCGGCAACAAAGTCCAGCGCATTGACCAGAGCCCCTGGAAGCGATGACAGTGCGGCCATGAGAGCCGTGTAAGAAGACATGATGATCGGTGGGAATGGTGGGAAGTCTGGTGCCGAACTCGCCATGCCAGCTTCTGGATGAGGGACATTGGGCTTGTAGTCTGTGAAGATCTGATATATGCACAGGACAATGTATGCGAAAAGCAGAGATGATTCAGTGGCTGTGCCGCGACCAGAAACCACTCCATAAGCGCAAAGGAAGATAGCCGACGCAATGGCAATGCCAATCAGGGTGGAATCGAGGTTCGAAATGTCCGGAAATTGCAGAACTCGCCAGAGGAAATAGACTGAACTCGACACAACCCCTGCCGAGGCAGCAAGCAGGGCAAGCAGCCAGGCATCGCTCCATTCACTTCTGTTGACCAGCCAGCGAGATAGTTGTCCGATGGCTTGTATGACCAGGAGACTGCAAAAGCCTTCGAGGAGTTGGAAAATGGGTGACGACCATCGCAACATGATATCCCAAGCACCGAGTGTGACATTCTCCAAAAGACCTTCTCTTCCAACAATGGACAACCAAAGTGATGGGCCAGGTTTAAGAAAATCCTTGCTTGTACGGAATGTTCTCTCTACCCAGCCCGAGCTATTGTCTGCATCGACCGAGAACCTTCCGAGGGCCCATATGCACAAGATGGGCAGGACAAGCAACTGTACCCCTCGCAGGATGTTTACGACGGTCCTCCTGAAACCTGGCTCATCCGGTGTCGATATTCGCAGTAAGGATAGAGAGAAGTAGAAGGATGCGATAGAGAGGGAGAAAGCGAGACCAGCATCGCGCCCACCAACGTCGAAGGTGAGCGGAATCAGGACGATAATGAGCGTGAGGAAGAGGAGGGCGGCAAGGGCGCGGAAGAACATTCGGTCGGCCGGTGGGTATGAGAGGTGAGGAGGGGTTCGGCGGTTCGCAGTGAGAAGTCGAGGCGCAGTCAACAGGATATCGCTTTCCGCGGCATGTGCTTTGCGTCTGTTGAGGGTAAATCGATCGGCCTGCTCTGGCGGTTTGGAAGACTTGCTCGTTCTGCTAGACAGGACTTGAAGGATTCGTGGTTGAGTCGAGGTCCAGGCTTTCACATGTCATTCCGATCGCAACAGAGACCAGATTTTGTTTTGTTCTTGGTGGTGGCCAGGAAGCGCGGGTTGGTTTGAGAGATTTGATATGAAGAGAAGAGAGGGACAGGAAGAGAAGTCGAGGTGGAAAGAGGATGTCGCGTGCACCAACGCGGGTTTGATTTCAAGGAAGCAAGCCAGGCAAGGACGCACCACAAACAAGCAAGATTCGATGAGAAGAGTTGAGCGAGCCCACTTCGAGAACCAGGACAAGGAGAGGA